GGGCAGGGAGGCAGCCGGGCCCCCCGCCGCCGCCATGCTGCCCGGCGTGGGGGTGTTCGGCACGGGGCTCACGGCGCGGGTGATCGTGCCGCTGCTGAAGGCCGAGGGCTTCGCCGTGAAGGCGCTGTGGGGCCGCACGGCCGAGGAGGCGGAGGAGCTCGCCAAGGAGATGAGCGTGCCCTTCCACACGAGCCGCATCGACGAGGTGCTGCTGCACCACGACGTGGACCTGGTCTGCATCAACCTGCCGCCGCCGCTCACGCGCCAGGTCGCCGTCAAGACCCTCGGTGAGTCGGCGAGGCCGCCGCTGGGCTCTGCCTCTGCTGGGGGGCCGCTTCGTTTTCCATTTTTTTATTTATTGTTTCATTGATGCCTCCTTGATTTGGAGGAAGGGTTTGGGTTGCCGGAGCCGTTGCAGGCTGAGGGTTGGGTGCCCGCAGCTCCTTTGTACCCATCTCCCTCCCCGCCTCAGAGCTGGCAATTCCCCCTCATCTGTCTTGCTTATTTTTTCCTCTTTCTTATTATCATTTATTTCCCACCACCCCCACGAGGTGTTCAGCCTGGTGCGGAGATGAATGACTCTGCGGCAGCTGCCCGTGTGCCATCCCGCTTTCCTGTCCCTCTCCTGTCCCACCACGGCTTCTCCGCGATGCTCCCACGGCATCGCCAGGAGCAGGCCTGGTGTGTCGCCCAAACCAGCGGGTCTGGGCCAAGGGGACAGCTCTCACCTGCTTCAAGTTCAAGAGAGAAAAAAGGGAGAAAATAATCCAGAGCACATTTGTCCAGCGGCTCCCTGTTCCCCTTGTGGGAACCGCTGAAGTGGGGGAGTTACTCACTCGGGAGTCTGTGTGCTGGAGATCCCAGGAGGAGGCTGGGATCTTATGCTGGCCACCTTCCCGATGCAGCTGGAGCACTGGGACACAGGGTCGCGAGGTGCAAACCAGAGCCTGGGGCAGGAAACGGTGGCAAGAGAGGAAATATTTTACATGGGATGCTTAATTGGCATCACATATGAAGGACAGCGCTGAAAAAGTAGACTTTTGTAGTTATAAATGTGTCTTTAATGTGGAAAAAAAAAGGGGCCATAGTCTGCTGTTACTGCTGTGAGCATATATCTAGTCTTTGATTTCTGATGGATTTTTGTGGGAGCGCCCTCCAGGTTTGTGCGAGTGTAAGGAAGATCTTAATTTGGGCCTAAATGGGAAAATGCAAAGGGAAGGGGGCCGTGTAGCGGGTCATCTTTGTAGCTCCCGTGGGGTTAGGTGAAGTCCGAGAGCTGCTGGTTTAGCTCTGTGGCTGCAGTTACGCAGGCCGATTGCTATCGCTGCTCACAGATGTGCGTGTGGGTAGTAGTGTTACCTCGCCAGGTTTAGTTACCGTTCACGCGCTGCCGGTGTCGCGGCCACTTGGTGTTCTCAGCCTTTGAATGGAGCAACTCAAGGAGCACCCAAAAGCCCCCAAAGTTCTGTATAAATGACCTAACTGTAATGTAGGCATCTGTCTGGAAACCACACGCAGTGTTAATGCTTATGTCTGGAAATGTTCGTCCCCGAGTTAAGACACCCTGCCCGTTTTTAAGGTGCACTTTCGATTTTTTCTCAAGATACATTTATGCCAGAAGGTTGCCTTGCTAGCCAAAATGCTACATCAATAGATTTGTAATGTAGAAATAGGTATCCCCTAAAATGTAATTTATCAGGGAATTAAAAGGCAGTATCCAGATTATTGAGTTTCACATTAGGCACAAGTGAACGTGTGTGGTGACAGTTGTGAAAGTTCTGCAGACTCTCAGTATTTAGTTATTTCTCTTTCATATGCCACACTTCTCTGCAGCTGCTGCTCTTGTAAGTGCCCCAGCTCACTCCTGCTCTTGGAGGTAGAATCCCTTGATGTTTCAGACAGACATGAGGCATTTCTTGCAAGAACAAAACTTCTGAAATAAGATAGAAAAAAAATGATGTGATTTTTGGAGTAATATGATTTGCCCCTCCGAATATTTGCAGATAAGGGAAAAAATATTTCTTGAACCTCTGCTGTATTTATGAATGATGCTGACACTGACATATATATATATATAATATATATATATCTCAAATGCATTACTGCTAACTTGCTGATGCAATTTGCTAGCAATAGACTAAAAAGAAAGATGTTCTCTCTATCCTGATTGATGCTATACTATTCTCAGTTTTCTATTACCTCTAGTTAATTTGTTTTCTTCTCATTTCCCAATATGACAGTATTAATATGTTGCAATTTTAGTAAAACATATACGAAAACTCATGGAATGATCATTATATAGGGATTAAGCATATGGCAAGTCATAACATTCAATATATGATGATTATTTTAAAGAATATTGTTTAAAAGATTGTTATTTATGTGAATATCTTTTGGACAAAAACAACCCTTCCATTTTTTCAGAGTTAAATTTTTACTCTTTGATTTTTTTTTGAGTTCAAGCATTAGATCTGTACAAATATAAATTATTGGGCACTTGCACAAACACAAACAAGACACTAGAGCAGCAGCTCCCAGACTTTTGAGAGGGCTATCTCAGAGCTGTTACCTTCTCCTGGTCCTTCCTGTGCCTCGTGGCCTGGGGACTGCTGTGCCAAGGAGTGATTATTTTGTTTCAGTCACTAGATTTTCTGTTTTGAGGTGGGGAGTGTAATCGCATTCATTAAGTGGGGATTTCAAAATCCTCTGGTAAGCTCTGGCAGTGTGTAGGCTGAGGAAAACAAAAGCTGGAAAATCATTAGTTTCTGTGATAAGGAAGGGATATGGGTGTTAACCTTTTTTTTTAAACTTTTCCCTTTTGGTTTGTTTGTTTTCTCTTTAGGTTTAGTACAAGAAGCACTGTATGGCATCTAGTGATAGGACATGGACAGTGATACAGAAGTTTTACTAATAAAATGAGCCTTCATGAGGACTAAAAATGATATTATGCTGCACTGCAGCAGGAAGAGTTGAGAGAGACATAGGTCATTCATTAGTAAACTCTAGTCTTGTTTCCATATGGAGAGAGGTGTATCTGACCTGAGAAGAGCCAGGACAAAACTTTATTTGTTACCTGTTTGTTTGTTTTTTCCCCAAATTTTGTTTTAATTTGGAAAAAAATCATTCTTAAAAAGTAAAAACATAAGGAAGCAGTTGGCAGTATTTCCATCTCCCGCCTGGAGCTGTGTTTACACAGAGAATTTGCAGCATTTCACATATTCAGGCCTATTTCTCTTGCAGGCTGTGGACACAGAGACGGGATGAAATGGATGTCCTTGCAGCTGTGTTTAACGCAGACACTACAATAGGAAAAAATCAGTTGCATTGTTTTAACTAGTGTATCCAAAGTGTAGATATATTGCTTTTTTAAACATTTTTTTTTCACACAATGGTCCATTGACAGCTATTAAAACACAGATGTGTGAACAGCATCTTCAGCTTGGAAAGTCCCCAGACTGTAGCTTCCTGGAAGCTGGGAGGGAGAAAATGTGAGAAATAAGGCTTTAAACTTGCCCTGTTACCTTTTCCTCTAAGCATCTGTTACTTGTCTCTGCTAGAAACACAGTTGTGAGTTGTGTCAGACTCAGTACAACAGTTCTTATGATTTAGGCTCATCTTGGGCAAACATCTGGCGCAGAGCAAATTCAAGGGAGAATTTGAAGCCAGGTTGGCTTGGGCAGTGACCAAAAGCAGTAATGAACCCCAGAGCTGATTGGAGATCCCCGCGGAATGCAGTGGTGGTCTCTGCCACTTTCTGTGCGAAAGGTATCAAATTCCCTGTCTGCATTTCCAAAACTGGGCTAATCATCCCTTTCTCTTTCCCACCTCTGGGCTACCCATCTTCCTTAGGAGTCCTTGTTTATTGCTGCGGGAGTTGTGGCTGCTGTGCCGGTTGGATAATGCAAAGGTCATGTCTCAACTGACTTCCCGCTTGTGAGTTGAGAAAAATCAGTGGCAAAATATTTGGGTGAGCATAGAATATGGATATGGTGTTGAAAATGAGTGTCTTTTCTTCAGTGAGCTGAAGAGCTTGGTGTACTTGCTAGAGATGGCCTGTTTTTCCACTGTCCACTCACATCAGCAAAGTCACTGTATCCCAAGCCCTGTCGGGAGCAGGAGACGCACTTGCTTGTAGAGACGAAATATGTTCCCTGAATTCTCACTTGTCTTCAGCATCACAGGAATTACTACTGCAGACAGCATAGTACAAACCTCTACCTAGTTCAGAACTGTCAGCATGTTAATTTGCACTGTATTGTTTCTCTCTCCGTTCAATTAAATTTGACATTCTTCAAATTCTGACTGTAATTTTTGCCCTTTGTGACTAAGTAGCTGCCACGTAACGTGAAGGTGCAGGTGATGCTGAGAAAACCTTGATAATATTTCATCTCTAAGTTGAAGGGAAAGTTGTGGTCATTTCCATGTTTCTGGCCCTGTTGGTGCTCTAATCAAGTCACTAAAGAGAGGTTGTCCATGAAGTTCACATAAAGCAAACATTTTGGTTTTGAGCAAAATCAAGTGCCAGATGTTTTTAGAACACGTCTCTGAAGGTGTTGCCTTCAGCTCTATTTGCAGTGCTTTTCTTGCTCTCTGAAGTATTGGGTGGTAAACACTGAGTATGCACTAAATATTCACAGTACATATTCACAACCATGTCTACAGAGTATTATTTTTTAAAGTTTATACTGTAGTAGCACATGGTAGGAGTCCATTCTGCTTAGGGTTATATAGACAGAATGTGACTTGCCAAGCTCTTCGGAGTTTGTTTCTCCTAAGGAACACTTAAATTTGCTGCTGACTGGTGCTTCTTCCACACTTTATTGCGGTCCTGAGAGAACATCTTTATTTAGGGAGGAACCCCAAGAACTTCGTTGCTGAGAGGCTCACTTCTCACATGTTATCAGAAGTGCTGGCATCGCATAGACAGGCCTGTCGTGAGGAAGATGTTTATAAGGATCCCTTATTATAGCACTTTGGGGATCTGCCCCAAACTGGGAGGGAGCTGCAGGGAAGTGGTTCCTGCATCTGTATAATCTATAATTAATATGTGCCTTCTCTTGCACCCGTGGAAACCATTAAGAGACTACAGGGTTGTAGCAAGGGCCAGAATTTTGTCCAGACTTTGTAAAGTAGTTTAGGATCCTCTGGGATGAATTGTTCTGCTAAGGTAAAATACAATAATGACCATTTATTATTAATAGAAATGTAATAGTTGTCCTGCAATATTGAGCTTAAATTTGTCCTAACAGCAGTGACATTGAGCATAACATGCTCTTGTCTGTGGAAG